GCCTCCAACCTCTAAGAGCGATGGCCTCCAACCTCTAAGAGCGATGGCCTTCAACCTAGTAGCGATGGCCTCTTCTAGTTTTTTTGTTCTTTCTTTGTTTCCTTCCTCAGCTGAAGAGCCCCCTGCCATGCCTCGAGGTCCAGGCCATTGCATTGGCTCAAATCCCAAGAGAGGAGTTTCGACTCCGGGGCGATGCCGTTGCCCTGTTTCGAGAAGCTGGGAGCCGGACCTTGGAGGATGGAAGTCCTGTTTCAATGCGATTCTGGAATGAAGTTGATTGGGGTGAGGTGAAGAAGTTGGAAAGCCGCTCACTGGTACTTGTTGATCACAACAAGATGACTGATCAAGTGGCTGCACACTTTGAGGGCCGAGTAACACAAGTTTTAGATCACCACGCTGGTGGTGTATCATATCCAAAGTCCAAAGGCCCAGAGCATCATTGATGAGAGCTTGGGATCCTGCTGCTCCTTGGTGGTAGAGCAGTTCATGCAGACGAAGGGTTCCAATCTTACAAAAGAGTTGGGCACCTTAATGGCTGGTGCTATTTTACTCGACTGTCGAACTTTGATCCAGCTGCCAAGAAGGGCACGAGCCGTGACCAAGCTGCGCTAAGACACCTGGAGTCGAGACTCGATGTTCCTTCCAAAGACCCAACTCGGTGGTACAAGGAACTCATGGACGCTCGCAAGGACGTGTCTCATTTGACCGTGCGAGATTTGATGCTGCTGGATACGAAGGTCGTAACCCTCCGTGGTATGAACGTTGCTGTTGCCAGCATTTTCAGTACCATTACAGAGGTTTGTGCCAGGGCTGGGACATCCGCTCACGTGGCAGAAATTGCAAAGACCCTAGCTGCAGAACGAGGGTATAGTGCAATCATTCTACTTTTCAGCAAAGACAAGTTGATGGGCAAGCGAAGAGCTTTGGCCTTTGTACCGCTGGACTCCCCTTCGTCCGAGTTGTGCGAAGACATTGCAAAGCAGATGTCTGAGACTCCTGGGAATTTACCCCAAGATCTGCGAGAAAATCCCTTGTACCAAACACAGGGGCTGGTGGAGACTGGCTTTGAGCTTCAACCCATCAAAGAGCTAGAACCACTAAATGTGTACAGTCTCAAGGGCGATGTGTCAAGAAAGACGGTGCTGCCTTTCGCCACGATGGCTGCCCTGGCTGCTGCTGAGCGATCTGCACAGCCCTTTTGAGTCTTTGAGTCTGTTGCGGTCCGATCCTTTCAAGGGACCGGATCCAGATTTCGACGGCAAAAATGAAGCTGGAGGGGCAATTGGGTAGTAGATGGTAACAGCATGTAACAGCAACATCTGAGAGTACTTTGACTCCATACTGCACGCCTGGAACGAGGGGTAGATAGTCCAGTACCGGTATGGGGAGACTTCAATTTCAACTCTTCACTTTTTTTGAATGTTCCAACAAGCATAATCTGAGGTGTTTATGTCATGAT